ATGCGTTCGTTATTCGAGTGCGTAGCATTACTTAGTGGTTTATAGATAGGCGAGTATCGGGACGGCAACGTGTAGTTTAGAAACGGTAGCATGGCAATCACCCATGTCAAGATCAGTGGTCGTCGTTTCGTCGTTCTGATCCACGTCTCAGTTGCTGCATGTATGGACTGTGATCGGTCGGAAGACGATGATCATCCGCCCATGCATTCTACTTAAAAACAGCTTCAAGGGAAGACGACGCACAAGCGAAACTGTCGGGTTGAGTTCGGCTGGATCTGACGCCACCTGGTGCAGATCGACGGTGGCCACTGGAAGGCAAAATGAAGCGGCCACCAAAGCGACCGTCGACGAAGGTCGTTTGAGCGACGACGACGGCAGCAGCGGCAGCGGCCTCATCACCCCGTGCACATCCATTCCATTAGCCTTTAAACGAACATCTTTAAAAATAAACTTACGGCTTGACAAAAAATTCGAATTCACTACACTTTCAATTATATTAACACAACAACTGCGCGCTATCCGAACATAATATCGCGCGCGATCTAGACGGCATTTTGTTAGATTGCCGCACTCAAGCGACGACGATTGCCAACCTCTTTCGATATTCTTCGTTCGTGTGTCCGTCCGTCAGTCGGCCTGTTGCTCGGCGCTCCGTCATCGTCGTCCGTCCGCCCGCCCATCCGTCCTCTCTCTCTCCTCCTGCTCCTTCCTCTCCTCCTCCGTCGGCCAGCCGGAATCGCTGCGAAGTCGCACTACGAAGCTACTCAGACTCACTGTCGCTCATCGAGCCGGTCGACTTGAAGCAAAGTAAGCGCTCTGAGTTACGGTTCGTTGTCTGGGGCTCGAATTTCGACGACACGTTGTCAGGGGGCCGCGAGTTTGAAAAGTCACCAGAAACGTTTTCCTCGTATTGGCATGAAACATGGTCTCTACGGCTTAGATCACGAATAGTTTAACTTACTATATTCCGGCAGCATTTGTGTATTTTGGGCAAAGCTGAGTGCTTGGAAGGTCCTGACAACAAGGTCAGTGGTATTTAAGCGAAAAATGATACGAGCAGTATGACCTCCGCTGTATGATAGGGAGTTAGTTCGCCTCTTTAACCTCTCGACAGCTGAAACGTCCCCTAAGGATAGTATATTGAGACCTAGTGATCACCCTACTTTCATACATGCTAATTCTTATCACTGCTTGCTTTTTTATTGAGCAGCCAACCATGCAACGTTACCGACATCACTGAAAATAGTGCCTCATGTAAACCGCGCTTCTCCACCCAAATGCCGCACCACTTTTCCCTTTCCAAAGTTTTACTTCGCTTTCGGCTTTCGTCATGGTAAACAAACGATGGCCCCGGATTTTCGGCGACCAATTAAAAATTGAAAGACGGTAATCCAGAACGATTAAAGTCTTTTGCGATCTTTGATACTTTCGCAGACGATGACCCGGGGACTTTTTTGCCGTTGGAACAGCACTGTTTAAATCGGACTGACTACCGGTCGCGTTTTTTGTTCTTCTCCTACTAGTAATAATTGTAGTTCTTCTGGACCGCTGCGACGACGACAGCAGCGCGGCGAACCGGGTCAGTCAATGAAAACGATGGTTGCCCCTCGCGCGGAAATGAGATT